ACTGACATGATACCACAAGTGGAAAATTCCACATGTGAATATTTAGTACGAAGTTTATTTCATGCACAAAGTTATTTAAAATATTTTATAAAATTTCCTTCAGGCTATGTGTGTAAGGTGTGTATGAAACATAAGTGAATTTCATTTTTAGACTTGGGTTCTATCCTCAAAAATATCACATTTGTATGCAAATGGAGTTGGTCCTCTCTATCTGTGGGTTCTGCGTCTATGGATTCAACCAACTGTATATTGAAAATATTCAAAAAAAAATTCCACAAAGTTCCAAAGCACAAAACTTGAATTTGCTGTACACCCAGTACTATGTCTAATCCATTTAAATGAAGTGATGTGTCAGCACTGTATTAGGTATTATAAGTAATTTAGAGATCATTTAAAATATGTGAGAGGGTATACATAGATTATATGCAGTTTCTGTGCCATTTCATGTAAGAGACTTGATCATCTGTGGCTTTTTGTCTCTATGGGGGGTCCTGGAACCAATTCTCTGTGGATTCTAAAGGATGATTGTATTCCAAACTCTGAAAAAAAAAAAAATCCTGTATCTGAAATACTTCTGGGCCCAAGCATTTCAGATAAGGGATACTCAAACCAATGTTACTTTTCAATTATATTTTTCCTTCTTTGTGTCTGTGTTCTTCTCAAAAAGAGTTCTTTTAAATATTCAATAAATGTTCTATAAAGTAGAAATGTTAGCTAGAAAATAATGGAAATTTAGGATAAGCATAATACAACACTTTTTAAAAATAGCCTTTAGATGTCTTAGTTAAGAATTCTTAAAGTATACAAGAGTCTAACATATTGTGGAATTGAGAAAGAGGAAGAAACGTTATATGACTATTTTGCAGCTTGTTAAGCTATGAATGATTTGATTTATTCTGCAGTACTGGTTGGATCGTGTGATGGACACCTGTGGAGGAATAATTTATGAACAATCAGAGATTTTGAGCATTTTTGCTTTTATGGTAGTTGCTGTGTCTTTTTTTTTTTTCCTTTTGGAGACAAAGTCTCACTCTGTCGCCCAGGTTGGAGGGTAGTGGCATGATCTTGGCTCACTGCAACCTCCGCTTCCCAGGTTCAAGCAATTCTCCTGCCTCAGCCTCCTAAGTAGCTGGGACTACAGGGGTGCACCACCACACCCAACTAATTTTTGTATTTTTAGTAGAG